GAGAAAGAGATTGAAACCTTCAAATCCCACATTCAAAAACGCACCTTGGCAGCAGCCCAGCCGTGCCAGGGCACAGTGCACAGCACACGGGGACGGCACCGCAGGTTCCGTAACGGCAGCTGCTGCCAGGCGCTGCCTGCGGTCCGGGGTCCTGCCTGGCCCTGGCTTCGGGCAGTGATTTACACCCGCTCCCAGGCACACATCACCTCCTCCACAGGGGTAAGACAGAGCTCGGCTCAGGTGACTTGTCCCTGCTTAATCCACTTAGAAAACTCCCCTCTGCCTTCCCCCAAGCTGCTCCAGCCTCTCTGCCTGTAATGTTTTGGAAACAGTGAAGGCATCATCAAAAAGCCCAGTCCAAGCCATGAAAAGGCTGCCAGTGACTTCCCCCAGCCTTGAGCAGTGCTTCTCACTGCATCTTTAACCCTTCCCAGGATCCCCACAGGCTGTTCATTAGTCCAAGCCTCCAGTTTTCAAGGTTGCTGGGGGGCGTGGAGAGTGAAGGCACCCAAAAATTCTCATGGATGTGTCCCTTTTGAAAATCCATGCTGAGACCGTTGCTTGTTAAACGTCGCTTAATGACTTTCTCAAGCAGTTGTGGGTTGTTTCAGGAGATATCTCCTCCTCTTTCCTACTCCCTGTGATCCTGTCTCCTTTTCCAGGGCATCCTACAAGGTGTGTGTGGGGGGTACCTTTTGGAGAGGTAAGCACCCGGACGCAGTCTCCCGTCACCCACACCAAGCGTGTGAGGTACATCCGTTGCCGCTGGGATTTGCAAGGCAGGCGCGCCGTGCTGGCCAGAGGCCGCTTCAGCGGGGTGAGTCCCCGAACACTGTCAGGTTGTGCTCCTGGATGTATCGCAGCAGGATGCGTGCCCGCCGGTCGATGGTCCGAAGTAGGGGTCTCAGGCCTTCGGCGCCGCCCTGGCTCTCCCAGAGTTCCCGGTCCACACGCAGCGACTCCAGCAGCAGGCTCTGCAACCTGCCCGACCGCAGCGTGGCCACCGCCGCCGCCGGGAAGCTGCAGCAGAGGAGCAGAAGACAGAGGGATGGAAGGGGTTACCCAGGGAAGGCCGAGCAGGGAGGAGGGCAGCAGCAGGACACCTGAGCAAAGGCCACCCAGGTGCTTCCAGAAGAAATGCATGTCCACCCAGATGAACACAGGATGAGGAGCCTCCTGTTTAAAACTCTGCCCATGGCAAGCGTGCAGGACAGCTCCATCAGGAACGGATCCAAACAAGATCCAAGTCAAGGGGTCAACAGCATGCCAAATGCCTGATGGGCAGCAACGCAAGAAATGCTGAAATACCTGATTATTCATTATTTTTGTGCAGCTGCCAATTAGAGAGGGGAAAATAGGCTTTGGAGACTGCAATCAGTCACCCAGAGCAGGACAAAGAGCCAGTTTCAGTGCAGAGGCATGTATGATGGGTTTGTGAGCCCACCCACCTGCCCCATCCTGGGTGGGAGGTGGCCCCACTTCACAGGGGTGCCCAACCGGGGAAGCCAGGGAAGGCACAAAGGTGTGCACGTAAGGCTGGTGTCCATCCCGCATGAGCAAGCTCCTCAGCCCTTGCCGGGACGTGCCCCTGGGAGGGTGTGCATCACCCTTCCTACCTGTCTATGCCTTGCAGAAGCCTGAAGTTGAGCTTCTCTTCAGGGTGCTGTGGCCTGCCTGCATTGTCAATGAACACCAGGCGGGACGGCGCACTCTTCCGGACCTGCCAGCAGGATGGGGAGAAGTTCACTTACTGTGGGGAGTCACCAGTTTAGGTGTTTAGGTTGTTTTTTTTAATGCATTGAATAATCCTGAGAGCATCTGGGGGCTGCCAGCTGCCAAAGCCCAGGTCCCCCCGTGCCAAGGCACACCTCCCACCACAGACACCGCATCACCATGAGACCTACATCACCCTTGCTGCAGCATCTGCCCTGCAAGTGCCTCCCAGGCACCTTCGTCTTAGCCCTGGAGCAGCCCCTCGGGGGCAGGGGAACATACCAGGATGTGGACCAGGACCAGCTCCGCTGGGTTTCGGCACTTCTCGTGAAGTCTCTCCTCCACGCAGGGCTCGGAGGGATCGGGCTGAAACCCACAGCAGTAGCGGTCCAGGCGGTCGTGAACCTGCGGGAGACATTTGGGGACCTTAGCGGGGACAGGCGCCCGGAGGGGGAGGTCCAGCTGTAAATTTTGCTTGCTCAGAGGAAAATAAAAATTTTCTAAGGATCCTCAGGATCCACAGGAAATGGAAAAACTGTGTACCCCAGTGAGTGTGAGAGAGAGAGGCAGGGAAGCATTCAGAAGCTGAACTGACTTGCAAAACCCCCTTGGCTTGGAGAAGAGAGAGACCAACAAAGGTGATGGTGACAGGCTTTCCTGCTGGAGTTCAGGCATCTTCTGTGCCTAGTACCTCTATATGCCATATTTACACACAGCAAACGGGTTGTGCTTCCAGCTGAAACCAAGGGAAGATGTACACAGCGATGAACGCAAATAAACCCTAAAGCACCCAAAGAAACCTAGGTTTTGAAACCTCAAAAAGAGATTTTTTTTTTATTTTCTTGGACTGTCTTGGTGCACTGGACGATGGTTTCATCTGGCTCCTGGCTCATATACACGCTTTCATCCATCCCTACAGGCAACCTAAGCAGCTCTCAATGGAAAGATGAATGGAAAAGCATCAGCAAGGGAAAAAGCAATCTGTGCATTATACAGAGCATGTCTGACATTTAAGTTAGGCCATGGTGACTTGTTTTAACTACATTTGTGTTTAATTATTTGGAAGCACTGCTAAGGCTCCGTGTAGTTGAGTCTGTCAAGCCCTTCCCTTCCTACACCAAATCCCTGCAGAAACCCCGGTGCTGCTTGGAAGCTTCCAGTGTTTCACCCGCACCCTCAGAGATATGAGGGAGTTTTAAAAGAAATAAATCTCTGTCAGACCCAGCTTCAGTAACCCTGCCTTGGTATTCACAAAGCTTCCTCAGTTATGTCAGAAGAAGCCAGCGCACCCTCTGCAGTGGCCTGTGGGGCAGACGGGACCTCACAGGCTGTCGACAGCTCTGACCATGGCTGTGTGCTGCCACGGCCATGCAGGAGGGGTTGCTTCACCACCTC